GATTCTTCTTCGTGACAGTGTTCATGTTCGCTTTGGCCATCCCTTACCACCACTGGACCTTGCCGGACAATCGAACGGGGTTTGGGATCATGTGCACGCTCACCTTCTTCTTATGTGTTTATTCTTTTTTGGGTTAATACCCAAAAAAACCCCAAATCGGTACACATGTGATAAATTACCCCAAATTAATTTTTTGACTACAAAAAACCCCTCAAACTGGTACTTATGTGACAAATTTACCATTTCGTTAAATTTTACTGTCAAATTACTGAGTTGGATGACACGTGACAGTTAATGGGTGTACCGATTTTGGGTATTACCCTCCGTTTGTCACAGGTGTACCGGTTTGTGATTTTTTGGAGTCTTAATCCAATTTAACGGAAACTAATGAAGGGTAAATTTGTCACTAACGCACCAGTTTGGGATTTTTGATGGTCAAAAGAGTAGTTTGAAGTAAATTTGTCATGGATGTACTAATTTAGGGTTTTTGGTTGTCACAAAATTAGTTTGGGGTAATTTATCTTATGTGTACCAGGTTGGGTGTCACAAAATTAGTTTGGGGTAATTTATCTTATGTGTACCAGTTTGGGGCTTTTCGTGATATTAGCCCTTCTTCTTTTAACATCCATTTATTTTGACATGCGCTTATTCTCCGATTTCTTATTAGCGTCACTAATTTTTTACATTGTTTCTTTTTGGGCTTGTTATCCACCGGGCATTCGAAATAACCAAATAAAAATATCCGTCAAACCAGACAGACGAAATGAGGCCGAAAGCTTAAACTTATAATTTTGCTAAAAAAAGACGTATAATGGGAATTCTTTTGATACTCGTATAATAGAAAAATTAGGAAATTAGAGTTCGAATACTATAACCTTCATTAGAATTTCGATTTTTATTTTCTAAAGTATATGGATTTCTTTAATACGTGCTATGCTCTTTAAATGGTATTTCCCTTTAATCATAGTGGCTAAGTTAAAACTCGAGGTCATCTCTTCCTATCCATTATTTAAATTCTATTTGAATTATGTGATTCAAAACATAAGTTGTTGAACACATCTCTTACGAGTTTATATAAAAAAATTCAAAACATCACTTCCTCTCCATTATTTAAATTCCATTTGAATAAATTAAAGCTTTTGAGCTTCTCTCCTATCTATTTTTTTATAATAAAATTCAAATTGAGTGGAGTTTAGATAAAATTATTTCCAATTTTTATTTTCTTATAAATGTACTTATTTTGATAGATATAAACTATATTTAAGTAAGTGGATTTCCAACGAAGAAAATAAAAATCAACATAACCTCAATATGTATGTTTCAAATAAATCAAGTTGCATACTCATTTTCTCAAATTTTTGCTAAGTTTAATAGACTACATCATTTATTTCGTTGTGTTGTGCTGAACTAAGGACTATATCATTTAAATAAAATTTGTATCGTTCAAGAATGTCCTTATTTGAAAAAATGAGGGCATTTTAGGCCCTTATTTGAAACAATGTCTACTTCAAGCCTTTATTTGATAAAATGATGGCACTTCATTCAAGAATGTACTTTATTCGTTGTTTAATAAGTTTTACTTAACGAAACAAATAATGCGATTCATTTCATTATCAGTTAAATATATTTGATTTAATTAAATAAAAGTTATATCATTTAAATCAAAAAATTATATCATTTAAGAATATAGTAAGAAATTACGTTTGAAACAAACTGTATGTTTAAGAACATATTTGAGATACTTCTCCATATCTATCTTTTAAAATTTTAAAATCAATAAAATATAGATGGTTAAAGATGATATTCGATAAACTAATTTATCATTGGTCGAATGTGGCAATGCGACTAAATTATGCCATGTGTCTTACCATGTACCCACATTATTTTTAAATTTAGATGTTTGGCAATACCATTCCCGGTGTCTTGCCATATAATATAACTCATTATTTTTTATTATGTTAATTTCATTTCGTATTTATCTCGAATGGATGGAGATATAGGAAATAAAACAAAATAACTATCAACAAGTTACACGTAATTATTATTCATCGAGTTAATGTTTATGTAATTAATTAAATTGTATTATTAAATCAAGCGAATTAAATAAAATATTTCACTGAATGTAGTAGATAAACTTTATACCATGCTTGCTTTTATTGGGAAGCTCTATTCTTTTGTATATTACTATTTTACTTTAAAAGTTGTATCTTTTAAGTTTTTTACTTAATTAATATTATTATAATCTTCAAACGAAGCAAGTTATTGGTTACTAAATCTTAAACTATGAGTTTAAAGGCAAATTTCCAAATAAAAGTTCGAAGTGTCCTCATTTTCTCAAATAAGGGCCTGAAAAGTGAACTTTGTCTCGAATAAAAGCATGAAGTGCTCTCATTTTCTCAAATAAGGACTTGAAATTAACTTTGTTTCAAATAAGGGTCAGAAATGGCTATATCGGTCTCAAAAAAAGGCTTGACCTCATGAGCTAGTAATGGCATTTTCGTCTTTTACTTTTTTGGTTTTTTTCTTTCTTTTTTCCTTTTTCTGTATTTTTCTTTCCATAAAAAAACTCAAAAACTCAAAAAAGGCTAAAACTTTACAAAAAGAAACACACACACACACACACACACACACACAAGCCCTCCACCTCATCGCTGGTGGGGTAACAACGATGGCAAGCGGGGTTGCCAGCCACAGGCTGGCCAACCAGCCCTCCCACCTGTATTTTTTCTTTTTAAAAAAAACTTTATTTTTTAAAATTTTTAATTTAATTTAACTAAAATTTAAGTTAAAATTGTCTTTGGATAAAAATGTCCTTGACTAGTCGGCGAGGTTAGGCCCTTATTTGAAACTATTATAGTCATTGCAGACCTTTATTTGAAACAAGGTCCACTTCAAGCCCTTATTTAAGAAAATGATGGCACTTCAAACTTTTATTCGGAATTTTCCCTAGTTTAAATGGTTCCACATTGATTTTCTTTGGCCAACTACCAAAAAAAGAACGAGTACCGTCTCGAAAAAAGGACAAAAACTATAAGATACATATTATTGTAATTTTTTTGACAGAACATGGAAAAGTTCACATTTATATTATGATAAAATCTAAAGATGTTGTTATTACAAATCAACTATATCATAAAAGAGAGGGAAAATTCCATTTTGGTACCTAAAGTGGAAGTTTTTTCTCAATTTGGTACCCAAAGTGGATATAATATCAAATAAGGGCATGAAATGCTTAATCAGTCTCAAATAAAGACCCAAAGTGCTCAATTAGTCTCAAATAAGGGCCTGGGTTTGCCGGCCAGTTAAATGCTCACCGGCCGGCAAGAAAGTTATTATTTCGGCACTAGAACAGTAATTTTTTATTTTTTTCTTTCTTTTTTTCTTTTTCTATTTTTTTATTTTCCTTTTCCTTTTCCTTTTCTTTTTTTTTTCTTCTCTTCCCTCCGCCGGCCAAGGAAAAGAAAAAAAATAGAAAAAGGAAAAAAGAAAGAAAGAAATAATAAAAAAAATAAAAATTACTATTCCGGTGACGGAACAGTAACTTTCTTGTCGATCGGTGAGCATTTGACCGCCCAGCGAACCCAGGCCCTTAGTTGAGACTGATTGAGCACTTCGGATCCTTATTTGGGACTAATTGAGCACTTCAGGTCCTTATTTGACACTATATCCACTTTGAGTACCAAATTGAGAAAAAGCTTCCATTTTGGTACCAAAATGGAATTTTCCCTAAAAGATATAACTAATTTGATTACATATATTATAAATATATTATCTTTGATAATCAAATTTCGTTAGTATTTCACTTTATCTGATAATAATAAATATAAAAAACTAACATACTCACCTGGGTAAACATCGGTAATATAATCGTATATTTGGGGCAAAAATTGAAAATTAACGTGTTATATCATTGATTTTAAGAACAAAGGAACAAAATCAAATACTATTTGGCAAGATGTCATTCGCAGCCAAATCTCCTCTTCTTCTTCCAATCCCGCCAATTTTTCGGCGACCGCCTCATAGAAAGTCTTTACCGTCATCACTGCAGAGAGAGAGAGAGAAGCGAAGGAAGAGCTCAGAAATGGAGTTCAACCTGAGCGGCAACGCCTTGAAGACCTTCGCTCGCTCCATCACCTGCCTCTCCCGCATCGGCAACGACCTCGCTATCCAAGCTTCTCCTTCCCAGGTCATTCCTTCGATTTCTTCTTCTTCTTCTCCGTCTCCGTCTCTCTTCCCCGCAGCTCCGGTCGAAAATTTCGCGCGTCGCGGCTGAAATCCATGCCGATCGTTCCTCGGCTTCATCCATCGAGTGAAAAAGCTGAGGAGTTGCTTCTTCGTGCGCCCTGACGAGCGATGCTTAGTTTAGATGCTATGCTATGCTGTTGTTAGGTCTTTGGCTCGTTGAGCTCGATACGGTGTCCGATTGACACATTTGAGAGTCGTTCCACCGATTGCCGAGTCTGTGGAGCTTTTGGCGGTGGATTCGAGGCAGAAGTTTGTTAACCTAGGTTGCGATTGGCCCTGTCGACGATTATTAGAACTCGACGTGCATAAAAATCTGAAGTGACTGAATGTATCTAATACCGTTGATGGGGTGATTCAAAGTCATTATATCGTGAGACTAGGGCAATTCGCAGCTACAGCCAGGAGAACTATCAGTGGTACTCACGAAAAATGTCAGAATGGTGAAACTATAGGAGAAAAACCCTATGGATAACCTTCTATGGTCGCTGCTATTCTGTCTTGCTGGTCTTTCTAGTTACTTTGATGGTGTTATATGGAGTTTTGCAACACTCAATAGGTGAAAGCACGATTGCGCTCCCTAGCATATCTCTTATGTGACCATACTTTGCACGACTTCCTTTTGCCTCGTCACATTTAACTACCAATGGCACTATTTGATTTGAAATTAGAATAGAAATAGTATTGATCTGTGTACATATATTTGTCAGTTTATAGTTGTAAGCAACTTACAAACACTTACAAAGTACTCTATGCAGGCTGTCTGTTCTGTCCTTAGAACACCTATTACAAACATTGATTATTTGAGTGTGCAATTACCAGACATCAATGCATCAAAAGTTCAATGGGCTCTGCAGTGCTTCAATGGTAAAACCTTTCAGTCGCATGCGTGGTGCTCTGAATTCATTATGTTCGAAATGGTGTATTTGATGGTTAAGATTGTAAGCTCGTGTCACAGATGGAAAAGTTAGCGCGCTACTTTTTCCCCCTGAAATAATCTCGCTCCAATTTATAGAAAAACAGCAGAAATGAAGTCTTGAAACTGACATGTTCATTGAGAGAAAATGACTGCAAGATGCTGTGAGAAGCATTTATACGTCAGGTCATATGTGTCCATGGAGACAAGCTTTTCTAATTTCTCATCATGTAAAAGCAGCATGAACTCCGTCAAACGAATTTTGCAGTGCCCCAATATGACCAATAAAGCTAATGAATTCAGAATAAAGAGACGGGGTAGTTTATGTTAAAAATTGGATTCCAATGTCTACTGCTTTTACTTTTTTTTTTGATAGCCATTTACCATTTTAAGTCTGACTCAGTCATGCTAACTACATACTATTCAGTATGTTATCTAACTGCAATATAAATCAGAGGCTGGCACCTGTCAAACCTGCATTAATTTGATAAGAAGCTGCACCACGCAGAGATACATGTTTATCTCACTGCGCCAACTGTGAGTTTTTGTTCATGCATAAGTGATGTTGTCATATGCATGCAGGTATTAAGAAAACATACTGGATTTCTTGCAATGTTGACCCCGACATACAACAATTATCTCTGGATAGGAGAAGATACCCAAGCAATTTTGTAGTGAGGCCTCGTGATCTGAACAGATTGCTTGCAAATTTTCAGTCATCCCTTCAGGAAATTACTATCATTGCAACGTACGCAACTCCGACCCTTCTGATGCTGCAAGTGAATTTGGTGGGAAAGTTGTTGAGTTTCGAAGCTACATTGATCCTACCAAAGGTAGAGATTAACTTTATTCTTTTCAATCGAATATGGAGAAGAATATCATGGTTCAGATTCTGGTTGCAGAGAACGACTCTTTACTGCACACTCAGCTGTGGATAGATCCTGCGGAAGAGTTTGTGCAGTATGCTCATAACGGCAACCCAGTAGACGTGACTTTTGCTGTCAAAGAGTTGAAGGTGTTCCATCTGATTCGTTTTTTATTATATTAACTATCAAGACATTTGGGTCATAAATTCAGCTAAAAGTTCTTGAACATATGACTTCACTTTCAAACTTATCTCCATTTCCTTAAAATGAGTCCACCTAGTTGCTGAAATGCTATTGGAGTCACATTCAGGACCATCTTTTATGTCAAAGTTTTTCCTTGTGTTTTCCAGTGAACATGATAATATTTAACCTTTGTCCATCTCATGGAAATCCAGGCATTTCTTGCATTCTGTGAGGGATGTGAAGTTGAGATTCATTTGTACTTTGAGAAGGCCGGCAAGTAAGTAAATTCTAAATGCTCTTTTGTATCTTGCCTTCTATCCATTTTTTTCATGCTTCACTTCAATGTTGTTTATGCGAGTAGCTCAGATGCAACAAGTAGCTTTCACGCAATCAGTGCGTAACTGGTTTTATTAGATGACAGATTGCTAATTATCTGCTCAGATACCTAAAAGATGCTAATGCATAGCTTCACAATCACAATTTTAAAGGCCCATGGCACTGTTACTTTTGGGCTAAATATCAAAAAACGAGAGATTATCATTGAAAATTTGGTTGATAAAACATAGTGCGCCTTCGAATTAAGTCTGGATAATAATAGCCTAAGGAGGTTTAAGTTCAGATGATAAATGGTTTATTTATCAAGTTTGATGCAAGATGCTAGTAAAGTATGCCGGCTGAAAATATCAGTGCAAAACCTGATGGTAATATGTCTTTTGACTTTACTTTTTGGTACTAATTTCTTGGTTTCAGATGCAACATCTCTGCCTTCACAGAGCGGTGTAAGTGCCAATGCAAAATAGAATAAATGGTTTTCACCCTCAGCGGAGACCTTTGCTCGCTCGATCACTTTGCTCTCACGCGTCAGAAATGACTTCACTATTCCAGCTTCTCCTTCCCAGGTGAATCAATTTTCTTCCACGTTTCTTCTCCTCCTCTGACTCTCTCACCCACAACTGCAGTGAAAAAGTTTGCGGTCGCCACTGAAATCCATGTCAATTAGTCCTCAGCTTCATCGATCTAGTGAGAAGCTAAGTAGTTGCTTATTTTTACCCTGACGAGTGATGTTTAGTTTAGATGCTATGTTGTGTTAGTAGGTATTGGCTCGTTTCACTCAATATAGTGTCCGATTGAGAAATTTTAAGTCTCCTTCAACCGATTGCCAAGTCATGAAGCTTTTGGTGGTGGATTGGAGGCCGAAATATATTAACCAAGGTTGTGATCAGCCCTGTCGATGATGATTACTACTTGACGTGCATAAATCTGAAGTCATTGAAAGAATCCAATACTGCTGATACTTGATGGGCTGATTCAAAGTCATCACATCCTAAGCCTAAGGTAATACACAGCTATAGCCAGCAGATCTATCAGTGCTATCGTGTAAAATGTCGAATGGTTAAACCATAGTAAAAAACCTACGGATAGCCTTCAATGGGTGCTGTCCTTCAGTCTTGAAAGTGCTTTCCTGGTTTGTCTAGTTACTTTGATGGTGTTGTATGGAGTTTTGCAGCACTCAATGAGTGAAAGCACGATCACATTCGCTTGCATAACTCTTACATAGCCATACTTTTCATGACTTACTTTTGCTTCGTTGCATTTAATTACCAAATAACAATAGAAAGTTCCAAGTTCTAGGGTCATGTTTGGCACTAGGCACCATTTTTACTGATTTTTAGTGTACAAATCACCTTCTTACTTGTAGATATCATATTAAGATTATGATATTCTTATAAAACCTCTAGCTTTCCTTTCACACAGTCGATTCGTCAAGATCTGCCTATCAATTGATTACCTTCAAGCTAGACCTCTTTGATATATTGACAGTATCTAGCGCACAGATTCAATGCCAACCTTCTTTTGAAGGTACGGTGTCATTGCTCATCTTAGTGAGATAATTTGACAGTTTGTAGTTGTAAGCCACTAACAAAATAATATGTGCATGCGGTCTGTTATGTCCTTAGGACACCTATTACAAACATTAATTATTTGAGTGTGCAATTACCAGACATCAATGTGTCACAAGTTCAATGGACTCTGCAGCGCTTCAAAGGTAAAGGCCTTTCAGTTGTGTGTACGGTGCTCTGAATTCATTATGTTGGAAATGGTGTATTTGAAGGTTGAGATTGCAAACTTGTGGGCATAGATGGAAGGGTTAGAGGATTCCTTTGTCCCCCTAAAAATAATCTCGCTCCAACTCTATTAAAAAAAAAACCAGCAGAAATGAAGTCTTGAAACATGTTCATTGGGAGAAAATGACTGCAAAATGCTGTGATAAGCATCGTCGTGTCGTATGTGCCCATGGAGATGAGCTTCTACATATTCTCATCATGTAAAAGCAGCGTGCGATCTGTCAAATGGATATTGCAACGCCCCAATTTGACCCATAAAGCCAACAGGTTCATAATAAAGCGACGGGGAACTTCAGATCAAACGGATGTTGCAGTCCTCAACGCTCGCGTTTACTCTGTGACCTGAAACAGATCCGATCCTCGATGGGGTGGGCCGGTCCAGGCCCAAAATCCCTGCTGCATGGGATCATTGAGAACAATTAGGCCCGTACTAGAGATAATGTGTTTATGGACCATCCTAGAAAAAGGAATTTAATCAATTTGTCCTAGAGTGAGTGCCGGTTAATCTCTACTGTATAGAAAACAAATCCAATGAGGATTTCAACCTCAAACTTTTATAGAAAAGCTTTAAGAATTGCTTGCATTTTTCTTAAATATATCATTGTGAACAAAATGGAGAAAATTGTCGTTTAAAAATAGTTTATGTATAATCCTCTAAATATCTTTTTAACGTTCACTATAAATCTTACAATCATTTGACTTTTTGCCCTATATTAAGATTTATTTTTATACTTGACTTCCATAAATTTAATTTTTTTTTCCACATGCATGCGTGTACTCTTTTCATAGTAGGGGAAAAAAGCAACTCTCTTAGGCTCCGTTCGTTTGGCGGAAAATATTCTCCTTTTGAAAAATATTTTCCTGGAAGTCATTTTCCTGAAAAATATTTTCCTGGAACACAATTTTCTGGTGTTCGGCTAAAATCTGAAAAAGTTTTGGAAAATATTTTTTGGTGTTCGGCGACCGCCGATCCGGCGGCGGCGACCGGCGGCGGTGACCGCGGCCGGCGGCAGCCGACCGCAGTGACCGGCGGCCCAGCACCGGCGGCAGCGGCCGCAGCGGTGGCGGCAGCAGGCGGTGGCCCAGCGCTAGCGCCAGCCGGCAGCGGCAACAGGCGGCAGCCGGCGGCAGCGGCAGCAGCGGCAGCGGCGGCGGCGCCGACCAACGATTGGCGGTGACCGCGACCAATGGCCGTGGTAGCGATCGGGCCGTCGATCGGCGCGCGGTGACCGTCGAGCAGCCGTGCCGGGGCCGTGGGCTGGAGCGGCGACCACGCGGCCGGCGGCGGCAGCCGGCGGCGATCGGCGGCGGCGACCGACGATCAACTTCCTCTCCCGAGAAAACATTTTCCCTCCATGGGCAATTTTGTCTTCACTTTGGGGAAAATGATTTCCTCTTTGTGAAAGAGGAAATCATTTTCCCCCAAAGTGAAGACAAAATTGCCCATGGGAGGGAAAATGTTTTCCGTGGGAAGTTATTTTCCGCCTCCCGAACACTGGAAAATCCAGAAAATATTTTCCTGAAAAATATTTTCCGCCAAACGAACGGAGTCTTAGTTCACCTGTTATTATCTTGTGATGTAATAAATTACATAACATGCACAAATGGCCGTCGTTTTCGGCCCACAGCCATACAATAGGCACGAGTACCTAGTTACATTACCCAGTATTGTATGAACATGAAATGACCAAGTAATTTTGGTAAACCAATCTCAAAAGCACAACGATAGTGATAAAATCAAAGCATCGTGATGTAAAAGTTGTTCAAAGTAATAACGGTACAACACAAGGTTTATGTCTAAGCAAACAACAAAGGACAACTTCAAAGAGAGCAGGCCACAACATGTAAAGACCCGGAAACTATCACCATTATCTAATTCGCAATGAATGCGAATGCCATCAGGACGCAGAGGATGAAAATCAGCCAAGGCATGTCACCAAACAGAACGTACATCAGCAGCCCGCACTTGACACATTTGAGAGCTACAGCAATGACAGTGAACATAAGTCGAAATCTTGGGTCTATATCTTGCATACTCATCTTGACGAATTTGAGCACCGTGTAGATCAGCATAATTTTTGCATGGGTAGTGTTGGCTGGAACATCCATGTACCGTAAGACAAGGAGCTCTGGAGACGAGGGACGAGACGAAGAAGCCTTAAATTGCGTGAGAAAGAGCAGCTCTGGAGACCAGAACGAGACGAAGAAGCGATGGAGAGGCTCTGGAAAAGAAGACGAGAGGAAGAAGCCCTTCAGTGAGAAAGATGGAAAAGCTCTCTCGAAGACGAGGACGAGAGGGAGAAGGAGACAGACGGGAGGTTGGGAAAATGATTTTCGGAAATGGAAATCATTTTCTCTAATTTCAGAAGAGTATTTTTTGTTGATCGGAATATATATATATATTTTACCACTTATTTTTCAAGCTTCGAGCACTAGAAATTGTGAAAAATGGTTCCTATATTATTGCCTACGTCAAATTTTGGGCCTTGTACTTAATCTCACAATAAATTTGGTCCATAACCCGACCTTTGATTTCCATTATAAAAAAAAACCGACCTTCGATCCGGATTTCAAATGTTTTCTTTAAAATGCAAACATAAATTACTGAGTAACTGCCGAATAAAAAATGACCTATTTGTAGATAAATTTGCATTTGTGATTCTAAGCAAACTTTTCTCGGGTATCTAATATTATCGCTTTTCCTCGCGTGCTCGCGCATTTGTCATAACTATTTGCCATTAATTGTGGAATAATCATTTTATGAAGGACAATTTAGCGAAGAGTTAGAAAACCTCCCCGGTAGAAATGGACTGCATTTTTACATGAGTGGTGATTATTAG